CTGTAGCCCAGAAATCGTTTAAGAAATTTATGTAATTGCAACTATAAATACATTTGTTCGTTCCTCCAAGGCAGCGTGTCGACCATCTTCAAAATGGGATGAGAGGAAATTCGTTTTTGTGTATAAAAAATACCCTTAAAACTACTGGAACCTCAACAACGTCACAAATAGCAGCGTAGTGCTATTTGTGCTACGCTGCACCAGAATGTGCCAGTAACATGAGTAGAATGTGCCAGTAACATGAGTAGAATGTGCCAGTAACATTTTTAATGCTAATTGATACACTAGAAAGACTGATATTTTGATTACTAAACTTTAAACGAAATACAAAAAATTATGTACACAAGTGGCAGCAGCTGAATTATCATCCTTAACATCGAATAGCAAAATACATCTCTATTACCATAACAGTTACATTCATGAACTCTTGATATGTTGCTCAAACAATAAAATCACAGAGTTTTACTCTATGATGAACAAAGACTTTTGCACTCATCCGAAACACTGTCGAAAAAAAATCAACTCTATTGAAAACGAAATTACACAAGCTTTTTCAGAAAGGCTTTTCCTAGATTACATTCGACACGTAACTTTTTTTTAAAAAGAAAGAACTTGACAACGGTTGAAAACGTTTTAAAGCTTGCCGTTTCTTACAATTAAGTTGATTCTTGGGACGAAAAGTAACTGTCTTCTCAATTTTGGAATTTGTTCCTAGTTTTTTCAATTTAATGATTCACTGATCTACTCAAAATTATTCGGAAATTTTGAACAATTGATAGTCTTCTGGCGCAACTTAACTGTTTGTTCTTTCGCATTCCAGTTTTGCGTTACCAGTTAAGTGGAATTAAAAGAAATTCGAGAAGTTCAACGAAATTAGTCGCGATCACAGAAATAGTCTCAATTAACAACAAACAGCGTCACTGGATAACAAAAAGTCTCACTTTAAAACAAACCGTCTCATTTAGTATCAAAAGCATAGGCAAATTCAAATACATCTGATGTGAAACCATAAACAGCTGCAACTTGCTGCACTTGTCGGACTAAGGCCGGTTTTAGGTTTACCGGTAAATATAACTCGGCAATTTTATTTACTTGTTTGCAAAACAGTTTCCATTTTATCAAAAATAATAAAAATCCAGGGAAACAACCACAAGTTTTTGAACTGTGTCTTTTCCTAGCATTTGAAAAAAAAATTTTCGAGTTTTTTTTTTTAATTTTCTTATTTTGCCAATTGAGAAATGATGTTCAAAATAAGTAACCAGCCAGTTACCGTAATATTTTTTACGTAAGTTTTTGAACTACAGCCCAATTTACGAGTGTATATAGAAGTTCTTGTCACATATGATTAGAACCATTCTCATAAAGAGTTAAGCGCTACCCTATTATCTGCCTGAAGATGTGCCAGAAAAAAAAGGTCCAAAAAAATAAGTCTCCCCAAGCTCCTCATTTAATTTGCACGTCTTTTTACAGGAAGCTGAAGCTTGTGTACAGTGCTCTAAAATACAGTGCCCTAACTCTAGGCAATTAATTCATAAGATAAATTTGATAAACTTGAAAAAATGTACAGAAAAAGATATCTGTATTATTTGCAAAAAACTAATGTTCTAGATTGTAGATTTTAAACCTTTTTGAGTTCTGCTCCTTTCAACAGAAGTTTTTTTAAAAATGCGACCGAATACATAGAAATTTTGTCATCTGATTTTCATAAATCTGGCAAAATTTTGAATTTTTAAAAATGTATCAAAATCTAATGGAAAGTACGCTGAGTGTCTAATAAATTTTTTTTATCAAGATCTAACACTTTTTTGCAAATGAAAAATATTATGATTATGGTTTAAACTTTAAAAAAAGTGTTGGCCGTGAACAAGAATTTTTAGCACGTCCCAATAGCTCATTTATGAGTCGTTTCTCTGCTGGATAGTAGGATCAACTCTTCTCACGCAATACTCATGTTGCTCGTTAACTTCGACCGTCCAGTCCGTCTGTGATTCCACAAATTGTTTGTTTTGTGTTTCGGTTTGTGAATGGGATTCGGCCGACTGAGTTTGTTTCTGGGTCGCGGTCGTGGTGGTGACTCCTTTTGCGGTTGTTGAATCGCTAATTTTGTCTTGGGTTGGGCTGGTCGGGCTTTCTGAAAATACCTTTTCT